CCTACCTTTTTTAGCTTCTCTCGAGATGAAAATAAAAAGTTAAGGCTTAAAAAGTTACTGGCCTAACAAAGAAGGTTCTAGTTATTGGAATTTATGTTTTAATTGGACAGCTTCTTACGGCTCTCCGAAGGCTTGCACAGGTGGGCCAGACTGATAGATTCATCCCTTTCATAGTCCATGAATACAGTCAGGTTTGTCCAGAAACAAAGGAACAGATGCACTAAGTGATATGAATATTAAAAAGGTCTGTTTGCTTCATTATTTACTACAGACTTTTCAATAGTGGGCGGGATGGGAAAAAATGTTTTAAAAGTACTGTTGATATAAAAGATGTTTGGACAAGCAGCTGGATAAGGAAATCTAGAGAATTGGTACTTTCAGCCTGGATCCAAATCCCTCTGCAGTCGTCACTGTTACCTTGCTCTAAACCGGCCTTTTACGCTATTTCTAAGGTTTTTAGCTGGGCTGTGTTGGGGTGGCCCTGGTTCTTTTGCTCTGTTGAGGCTGTACAATAGCCCAACCCTGAAACCGCTGCACTCGGATGTCTCACCAGAGGAAGGGAATTTATAGTCAGCTTCAGCAGCTCAAATTTGCGATTTTGGGGGCTGCAGCTGCTGTGCTGTTTTTAGGTAGCTCAGGTGACAGCCCTAACAACAAGCTGGGGCTCAGTGGAACAGCAGAGAAAAGCTGAAAAGCAAGGAGCAGTAGCAGATGGTTTTCCTTAGCCCAGGAAGAAAATAGATTCTAGCTTACAGATGCAAGAAATGGGCAAATTCCATAAAAGGCAGATGGAATTTTTATAATCTTGAGGAAACAGTGTCAACTGCAGTCGCAGAATAATGGAATACGGAGAATCCTGTTTTTTTTTTTTAATTATTATTATTATTCCTCAGAGTCTTGATTTAAGCTTGTTTTAGCTTTGATCTTCAGAGTGACTAAAGCAATTTTTTCAAGAAAAATCTGATATTATAAGGTGCAGCATGCAGATAGTAGTGAATCTAATGACAAGCTGGGTGCCCAGAATACTGGTTTGGCTCCCTGAAGTTACCAAGAACATGGAAGCAGGGCTGAAACTAGCCAACTCAGGTATTTATTCAAGTTTGTTAAAAATCTCTGAAAAATTATTTTTTTTTCTTTTTTTTTTCTCTTTTTCAGTGGATATGCACCATAAACAACATATCTAAACAGATATATCTAAGCGAAAACCCTGAGGTAACTTTACTAAAATGTACAGCATCAGTAATATGTTAAGATGTGGACAGGCACAAATTAAAAAGAGATCAACTGGATCTAATTGGGTAGGATAGAATTCAGCCGGGTACCTCCTACATGTTGGTCAGGTTTTCATGGTGTGAAAGCAAACAGTCCATGGTCTCCTTCATCTAAACGCTTACGTAGAAAGCATTAAAAATATGTGACTCTTATTTTGGTGTAACTTTCTGAAGTCAAGATCCTGTATTTGTGTTTTGTGTATGATACTTTTTTACAAATTAAAATGATAAATATTCGGATAGATACATTTAATTTCTACTAGAGGGAACTGACAATCTTGGGAATTACATGAACAGCAATTTTGTAGGAAAGACATTTTTCACTTCATGGAGGAATTATTTGCCTTTTAAAGAGTTAGAAATTGTAAATTAACGTCACTAATATGGTTTACGTTTATATAGTAAATTCATGTTGATACAAGCTTCCATCGTGATTTTTACTTGCTAAATTAGAAGAATTCACAGCTGTGTTAGTGAAAATTAAGGAATGTAAGATCTCATGAAGGGTTGACTTTGTAAATTCTGTGAATTGCATATAAATTAAACTAAAATATTAAAGCATCTTTTGAGGAACATGTTTTCAGTTATTTTTTTCCCATCTCTCTGTTGCAGGAAATTGCTGCACGTGTAAATCAGTCAGCTCTGGAGGCTGTTACTCCATCGCCTTCCTTTCAGCAGAGGCATGAGAGCATGCGGCCAACTGTGTAAGTTAATGAACTATGGGTCATTTGAAGAGCACATCCATAAAGAGAATCCTGGATACAGTTCCAGGAAAAGAAAACAAACAACAAAAATTTCTATGTTCAGAACTAAATCTTTGATGTGCTACAGGAGAATTTCTTGAACTCACCTTTTTAGCATTGTTTAGCATCCATTGTTAGAAGTAATTCAGATTTCCAGCTGACTAGGCAGTTGTGTTGTTTTGCATCATATGTCTGGTTGGTTGTATGAAATCATAATGAGGTTTTTCTTAAGGTGTCTTCTTTGTGATCTGATCTAGGTGGTCCTGCTCAGGCAGGGGGATTGGACTAGATGATTCTTTGAGGTCCCTTCCAGTCCCTGACATTCTGTGATTCTGTGTCCAGCCCCTGGAAGCAGACCTCAGATTGTTTTAACATCAGTATATGATCACATGAAATATAATACAATCTGATGCAATTAATGCAAGTAGTAACTTTAACTTAAATTTGACTAGGAACGTAGACTCCACTTTTGTTTACTTTACCCTGATCATCTTCAGGTTTTTATTTTTTTGGTTTATATCCAAGTTTTGGAATATTATATTGGTCTTCCATATGGTTCAATTTATTATCAACCAACTTGAAACTAAGATATCTTCGTTTTGATTTTTTGTTTTGTTCTAGACAATCTCGTCCTCCTGCAGCTCGTACTAGCAGTACAGGGTCACTGGGATCTGAATCAGCAGCTTTATCAACACTTTCCTTGGATTCACTTGTTGCCCCTGACACTCCTATACAATTTGACATAATATCTCCAGTTAGTGAAGATCTGCCTGGGCAAGGAAAATCTTCAGGGCAGTCGGGCAGGTAGGAAATGTAGAGAGAAGGGAAAAAAGTCCTGATGTTAATATTATTAATTTAAAACCAAACAAACAAGAAAACCATGTTTAGGCTGCAGCTCCAGAATCCGCATTGCATTTGCCCTGACTCATGTCACAAAATTTGCAGTGGCCAGCAAAGCAAACCAATTTTTTAAACTGTTAAATAGAGTTGTAAAAAAATGGCTTAATTCTGTGCAATAGATTTCAAGGTGTAGTTTTCTATTTAGCAGCAGCTTTTCTTGCTTTAACAGCTAATGCTTTTATTTCTGGGTTTATTTTAATCTTTTGGTTTCACAAAGTATTTTCCTTTCCTATTGCTTGCTCACCCAGCAGCTTGGGTTATTTCCTCTTGGAAACTCAAGAGAAATTTGGTAGCCCTGCCTCCAGGTGATGATGGCATACGATGACACTCTTCTTAACCTGAAAGGTGAGTGAAAATGATCTAGGCTTCTAGAGTAATCTCATATACAGACAAGTTAAAATTGTCTTAAGAGCTCTTCCCAAAATATAAAAACATTTTCTCCTACTCGTGGTTTTTTTTTTTATAAACTTCCCAATCAAAAAAATTAATAAAAACCTGTAAATCTGCACAGCGTTTCTGAAAATATATGTAGAAAATTCAGATATTAAGAACACATATTTGCAGATCCATCTGCCCTTAACAACAACAAAAAAAGCCAAAAAGCTGAAAACTAATTTATGTGATTCTAGTCACAATAATGTGTTGTATCCCCCTGCCTTCTAAAAAAATACTTGAATTTTCAGTTGCAGCTGACAGATACATAAGAGTTAAAACTATATATATATTCAACTATTTTTTCACAGTTTTTGTTGTTGTTGTTTGGTATAGCAGGATAATCAGTTGGCTAACTAGATCCTTAAGAACATATTGATTTTAAGTAGACTTGACCTGTATTACAGGAAGTGGAAAGGTTAATACTTCACTAAATTCATGTCATCAGTTTTAATTCCATTCTAGAAAATCATATTTTCGTAGCAAAAAATGATGCAGTTGTGCTCAGTATTTTCAGTTATCCATTACTGTCAGTAAAGAACTGCAGTGTTTGTACAGACAGGCAACATGTTACTTTAGAAGTATTAATTATTAAAAAAATACTACTTTTCTCAGTTTCTGATACTGATGACATATTATTTAAATTTTATTTTTGCCTTTTGAGAGATCTTGTGAGATTTTGCATTTACTGTTCCAGTCTAATCTAAAATGAGAAGAAGAGTCTGAGCAATAAAAGATGCTAATAGAATTTCCCTTTAGTGAATTTACACAGGTCAGCATTTAACGGGATGATTCTGGATTCAGTCCATGTTATAGAAACATTGTGGCAATGCGACTTCAGAGTTCAGTCCAGAACAATTTTATTACCCAAAAGTAGACAACTCTTAGTTAAGACTTCACTGCTGAGATAAGACTGGCAGGCAGTGTGGTGCGTAACTGAACAAGAGACATGGACGTTTTTTCTCTTAGTTATGAAATTTGCTTTTAGAACACCAGCTTTCAAGAGGTGACACCTTCATTACTCCCCTATAAAACCCAATTTGAAGTTTATTGAACCCTTGACAGTAGTTTTTCAGCTACCAGTTAGCTGAAGAGAAAGGGTTTTTTCTTCTTTACACGTTTTAAATAAAATTTCCCCATTTCTCATGCTCTCTTCAGCGTTGCTTTACTACTTTTGAAAAATGCAGACTTGGAAGCCTAGAGTATTTTCACTTTTTGTTGTAACTGATAGCAGTTCTGTCTTTGAGAGCCAGAAATAGCCACATTTCTCTTGATCCTCTAGGAGTAAAACCCCAGTGATGTTTTCAGAAAGCTGCATTTGAAACAAAACCAGTGACTTCTCTTCAGTAAGTAATGCAACAACTTGAGACAGTGATGAGAAGCGTGGTGCTCCTGTGGAGTACTGAAAGGATGAGCTTTTGGTTGTACTTCCTGAAGCTGTTCTGTGAAATTTCATCCTCTGAAACTGTACTTTTTCAGATATTAACAAGGTTTTGACTTGGGCTTAATTCAGATATAAAAATACCATGTGAGCAAAACTCTATGGCAGCAATAGGACAACAATATCTGGTATTTTTCCCATAATTTGAGTGCTCAAATACAGCAGCTTATGTCTGACTCTTGATTAAATTTATGGTTTTTATGATTTATAATGCATTATTCCTCCGGATTACGAGCCTGTGAAATCGTGACATGTTCTTATTTGATGCACCTTGAGACTAATACATTACTGATTACTGATTCTTGCAATCTGACTCTTGGTTCAATGTTTTCGTTTTTAATAGACGCACAAATCCTTTTGGCGAATCTGGAGGCTCAAAATCTGAAACAGAAGGTAAACCAAAATTTTATTCCAATGTAAAATAAAAGTAGAACTTGAGAATTGTTTTTCTATTTTCATCTGTATCTTCTCTCTTCTAATTTAACATCAATTTTAGAACGCTTAGTTACATTTGCAATATGTTAAGACAAGTTGAGCTAAATCAAGCTACTATGTGAAAGTCTGTTTTAAAAATAATTCATTGCATCTTTTGTATTTATTAAACCAAACAAAAAGATTTGGGACTTGCTGTTTAGTAATTGTGCCTCTAACTCATAAGTATGATCAATCTCTTTCCAAGTAATTAGAAGTTTGGAGTTTTCCTGACTGCAGTCCATCTTTGGTTTTGAATGGAAAACCCAAAATGGAGAGTTTACTTTTTTCCAATACTTTTCTTTGTCATAGATTCAATTCTGCATCAGTTATTTATTGTAAGATTTCTTGGCTCTATGGAGGTGAAGTCTGATGAAAGTCCCGATGTTGTTTATGAAACGATGCGTCAAATACTAGCAGCTCGTGCCATCCATAATGTTTTCCGGATGACAGAATCACATTTATTAGTCACTTGTGACTGCTTAAAGTAAGTTTGCTTCCTGACTTCTACTGACGATAACTTACAGAATGATCTTTCACTTTGGTAAAATTGACTTTCTGGTTTGTTTTTATAAACAAATTTTTAGGTTAATTGATCCACAGACACAAGTTACAAGACTACGAGTAAGTAACTTTACATTTTACAATAAATACCCAGCAATGTAATTCTTCTACTTTAAAAGTAATATTATTAGATGTTAGCAAAAATCAGACAGCATGAGCTTTCCAGAGAAATTTCCACTGAAGTGAGGAGATTAATGCGCACATGTGAAAATAGACAGAAAAACACTTGCAAATCAGGTTTGCGGGGAGTGATTTCAATAGGTCAAATAGGCTATTTCCAGTAGTGCTTTATTCTGTCTTTACCTTTGTGGCATTAATTCAAAGCTGCCCCAAAGCTGTAAGGCTGGGAGCATCAACCAAGTGTATGTCCAGGATTTTAAATGTGTACATTTAAGGTTAGGAAAAAACAGTCCTATCAGTTTATAACAGCTGTAGTAGGGGCTTTCAGAATTTAAAAACTTATCCTGTGATAAGTCCACCCTCTTTCAGGTATAAGAATGCAGAATAGTTTTCTTGTAACAAGATAATGAGGATAAGTGGTTTTTCGGTTTTTATTTCTTTTTACTTGTATAATTCATGAGAGCTGAACTAATCACAGTAAGGGCTTTGGAGAAGCAGTGCCTTTGCCTGGCACCAAACATCGCAGTCTGAGTCACAAAGGTAGTTTGTATGAATGATGTCTCTTTAAGGAAAATAAAAAGGGGTGTGTTCACACTTAGAAAGATGACTGGATCGCATCACAAATGTAGTCCCCTTTTCTTAGCTGGAGGGTATTTGTAGAAGTTTTCCTGTCTTTTGAATAATTTAATCCTTGCCTTCTAATCTACTGTTGGTGTTTCGTAATTACATATTTGGTCAGGTTGTAACTTCTGGTGTAGCTGTGCATTTATGATGCTGAAGTAGTTCATGTGCAGTATATTGAAACTCCATATGGAAAATATTTGCAACCAGTTTTAATATCTCCATGTTTGATCCTTTTGGCAGTTTCCTTTGCCCAATGTAGTCCTGTATGCTACACACCAGGAGAATAAGCGCCTTTTTGGATTTGTGCTTAGAACTTCAGGAGGGAGAGTTGAGAGCCACCAAACTTCTGTCTGCTATATCTTTGAATCCAATAACGAAGGGGAAAAGGTACTGGCGATGGTTGTAACTGTATCAGTTTTGAACCTGACGTGGGTGCCAAGACATTAGATCCATGCAAGCTGTCTAAGGGATTTCTGTGGGAGAGCATTTTGTTTATGTATGGAAAACAGATAAGCCTGACAGTCTAAAGTACCTGCCAGTGCTTTAATATGCTATCATATCTAATTTGGGAATCTGGCTTAATTTTAAAGGCACTTTTATTAGAGTCTTTTTGATTATTTCCAATCTGTTTTGTGTTTAGATTTGTGACTCTGTTGGACTGGCAAAACAGATAGCTTTTCATGCAGAACTGGTAAGAATCTTTTTGGGGTGAGGGATATTTGGGAATGGAAGGGAGAGTATATTCAATATGTGTAACGGAATATATTCTGCAAGATGCTTATAGATGCAGTAATACTGTTGGGGTGTATTTTAAGGGATTTTTTTTCTAGAATTTGAACCCAAGATAAAAAGACTGACCCATGTCTACTGTGGATTGGATTCAGCCTGCTACCTCTAGCAAACATACCAGTTCTTTAAAAGAAGAATAATCAAACCAGTGGTATAACAGTTTTGAGCAAACTCATGTAAATCGGTAGTGGTGTATCAAACATCTCAGGCTGTTGTTCCTTTATTTACATTTTTGCCCTTTAGGATCGAAAAGCATCAGAAAAGCAGAAAGAAATAGATAGAGTCAAAGAGAAACAACAAAAAGAACTGAATAAACAAAAACAAATTGAAAAGGTACATTTCATCATTATTTCTTAATATACTTTTTTTTTTCCTACCTACTTCCTTTTGCAGTTTTGTGCTCCAAGCTCCACTATCATAGTCTTTAGTACAAGTTCATAGAAGGTTATGGAGTTACATTAATTATTAGAAGTATTTCTTGTGGCCATTGAGCAGATTTTGTATAGTTTTGTATAGTAGTTTGTAAAAAGAGCTCTTCTGAGGAGATAAACCACAGAATGTCTTTATAGGAATACTTAAGAGCTGTGCTTGAAGAAACACTTGTCACAGGCCCGAAATAATTTCTTTGCTGGGGAGAGTTCAGTTGCACAGTGAGGAGGGGGCTGCAGGGAGTAGGCTGTAGCCAAAGATACTTGTTCTGACCTGCTGTGGTTTGTGGGTTATAGGTACAGATGTGTTAATGTGTCAGATGTTCCAGTAACCAACTACTGAAATGTAAATGTTTTGGTTCCCTGTTCAGTCTTTCAGTTCCCTCTGTATAGAAAGCTGTCCCTTGATAGTACTAAAAGAAAGTTTATATATCATAAGAATGGTATCTTGCTTCAATTGTAGGTGGCATTACAGTTACTATTATTTTTCTGATTTTCCAACCTCTCCTTCTGAAATTAGGACTTAGAAGAGCAAAGCCGGTTGATAGCTGCTTCCAGCAGATCGAACCAGAGTGGTGGTGAAGGACAATTTGTAGTCCTTAGCAGTAGCCAGTCAGAAGACAGTGATTTAGGAGAAGATGGAAAGAAGAAGAGAGAATCTGAAGCCTAAGGTTGCCTACTTTATTGTAATTGGAATCACAGATGTATCTGGTGAAATGGCACAAGTTTTACAAGAAGTGAAATGTAGGTGGAGGGTCCGTTGTATTATACAAAAGACTTCACAATATGTAGACTCTATTATGCCTTGATTTTTCTTTCTCAATTACGTGATTTCCATTTTCATGTCAGTATAATTTCTCTTCTGTATGCCAGATAAAGCATGGTGATGCTACCATGTTTATTACAAAATTGTGTTTTCTGAAGGCTTCTCTACAGTATGGAAGAAACTGTGGGTGGTTTTTTCCCTGTACCTCTCTGTGCAATTGATAGCTCTTGAAGCAAAACTTTAAACTCTCATTGGACTTCAGCAGTGCACTGAAATTTGTTCCTTACACTGCTGTATGGAGTACACCTTGCTGGAAACAAAAGTGGATGTCCTACTAAGACAGTGCTTAGCTTTACCTAATCGGTTGCACATAACTGTTGTTAAATTTAGAAAGAAAAATTCTTATTATCATCAGTGAGATGTGCAACAGTTCTAGACAGAAAGATCTTATTTTTTGTTTCATATTGCACTATATGATACTGTTGATTTTTTTTTTGTGAATATAATGCTGAAAGACTTCTTTCAACAGGAGAAAACAACGGTCAGACCTAGAGAAGAGCTAACGAGAGGCAGTTGCACTTTGCTGCATAAGGAATGTATAAAGCATTCCTTATCGAAGGGTTAGAATAATGTCTGTGTTCTTGTAGCACAAGTGCCATGTTCTTGGTTTTTCCCCCAGTATATGTCATAAAAAACTGTAGGCCTTTGAGTTCACTTTTTATAAAACATGCTTAGGGTTGCGGGAATATCTGGAATTCCATCATTTGAAAAACCTTCAGAATATGTAAATGCCTTGCCCCCAGTACACTACATTACTGAAAACGAGTCGAGGCGCCTTATGTATTTTCACGGAAATTGATTTTGCAAACAGAATGTAGTAGCTCTGAAGCAAGAGACTATGCTAATCCGACATCCAAGAGTCAATCCTGTAAAGTAGTCTCTGTTTACAGTTTGTAATCTGAGCTCCGTGTTCCATACCCTGTGTAATATTTATTTTGTATAGTACTAAATGTGCATTCACCTTTTGATCCAGAGAGGAAACTTGAAGAGAAATATTTATTTTTGCACTAATTACTATAAATACTAAAATCCAGTGGAACAGAAGATATCTCTAATAGTGGCATGAAAATAACAGGAAATGTAGAAAGAGAAGAATATACTTCTACTCTAAGTTATATTATAACAGTTAGGAGTGTTTTACAGTTCGGAGTGTTTTACAGTTCTTTGCAGGCCATTTCTGGTGTTCAGGAATGGAAGCAATTTTCAGAATAACTCGCCCTCAGCTGCTGATGGCTTAGCCCTCTGTAGCTGGAGCTGCTCAGTGCTGATGAAGTAAGCGAGGAATCTCAGGACCTCTCTGCTAGATGTCTGAGGTGCACAGAGGGATCAGTATCCTTAGCGCTCCTCAAGCGCTAGCGGCCCTGTGTTGGCTAAAGCAGGCAGTTTCTTCCTGCCCTTTATGCTGGAGATGTAAATTCCTGTGCAGAAGTTCACTACACCTGCTCCTGTCGCAGGAGAGAAAGGGGAGCAGTGCCTGGGGCTGCTACTGCAGCATGAGCTAGAGCAGCTCCTGGAGCAGATGTTTTTGGCACCACGGCCGATGGAAGAGTTCAGCAGCCTTGGAAGGGGTCACGGTGCCCCTGCCTTAAAGCAGGAGGTGGAGGGGGAGGCTGAGCAGCAGGCAGCCTCCATGTTCTCTTCCTGAATGAGTTAGCAGCTCCTGTTCCAGTACATTTTTCATCCCCAGAGTAGCCAGTCACTTGCAGAAATACCTGCTTTTGCTGTTGCCCAGTCAGGCCAATGGGCATTGCCCTGTGGCCAGATTTGGCTAGCATACTGTCACATGGACCACACAAATCTGAGGCTTTTTTCTAAAAAAGAGTGGCATTTTGTTTCATATATAGTCTTGTATGGGCAGTTCTCATCCTTAAGAGACTGTTTTTATTCTTGGCAGCAAAACGTACAAAGGCAGCAAATCCAATTTTTTCCCTTTTTAGGCTTACAGATAGTCTGCAAATCGTTTCTTTCTCTGTTTTTTTTTTTTCTTTGGTTGTTTTTATTTACTGATATTTCTGTTTTCTATCAAATAATACGACAGCATAGCTCAAGTTTACTGTGTCTTACTGTATCTTCCTCAAGGATGTGCTGAAGATGAGGTAGTTTTGAAACAGCGCAGGAAGAACATGAAATCAGTGGTCTCCGGTTTCTAGAATCTAGTCCTCCTGCTTGCCACAGTAGGATTGGTTGTGTTAGCCAGTTCAGCTGCAACAGCCCTAGCTCCAGCCAGAAGACAGTTAACAGAGAACCATCTCATCAAAAAGCATTTCTGATGTGTAGCCTGTTTTACATTAGCCTTATTGAAGAAACACCAGAAAACTGAATTGCTCTATTTTTTCTTGAAAGCTACCATTACTGTTTCAGACAAATCTGGAAAGGAATGAAGGAATGAGGAAGAAATGGGAGAATGAAGTTGGCAGATCAATTTACTGTCATACGGGATTTGTCAGATTTAGCAATACATGATTGGAATTATTCCATTTGCTTTTCAGGCTTTCCATCTATGCCATTAAATGTAGTTTTCTAAAACAGACAGCAGAAGAGTGAAGTGCATTTCATTTGTGTTGGATGATTGTCATCTTAAACGCTAAAAAAAGAGGGAAATTAATTAAGAGAGTGGTTAAAGAAAACAGATGAATGAAATGAATGGGTTTTTTTTTTTTTGCTTATTTAGGAGAGTTTCACTGGTGTAAAATGAGCAAAAAGATATAAAAGCTTCTGGGAGGGTGATGAAAGCTGCAAGAGCAAACAGCAGGTCAGAAGAGATGAGGAAGTTTAACAGGAATGGTGCAGTAAGTCAGCAGGGGGGTGAGATTTCTGGGTTTTGCTCAAGGGGAGGAGCTCATGGCTCTGTAATTAGAACTACCTCAAGGCAAAAAGTAGCTGCTGAGGTTTTATCCATGCCCTCCTACCCCCTAAAAAATCCTGTTTGGTACATTTTTTCCTATGAGGTTTAGAACTACTTCATTAGAAAACATTTTTATTAATTAAAAAAATTAGAGTGCTTAGTATTTTCCCTGAGAGTATGACTTTTAATATAAACACCTCCTGTTCTGCTGAGAATTGCTGCAGTAGGATTTCACCACCTGAGCATTTTATTATTGATTTCCTCTCCTGACATTTATTTCTCCTCTTTAATATTTCCTATTGCCTTTTACTCACAGACTGATCTTCAGGCACTTCCAGCTGAAGCTGCAGTTTGCTTCATGTGCATCTGCTTTTATTTCAGACACTCCTGAGAATATTCTTGCAAGTACATGACATTAAAGTGATTTTGTATAGGTGCTGAACCAGCAGTATTTTCCAGGACTTTTTATGTTGCTAATTGCGGCCACATAGTTACTACTATATTTTTTCCCTTAGGCAAGGGGCTATGAAGTTCGCTACACTGTGTAGATTTACATACTGCAGACCTCTTGCTGTCAGTTGTTTCAAGCTACATACATTTTTATGTATGTAATGGTATGAATATAAAAAGAGATGAAGTGTGCTTACAGTTCTGCATTTCATCACATTACAGATAAACAGCCAGCACTCCTCCATGGCCACTAATAGATTTCTCCAAGTTCACATCAGAGGACAAGTTAACAGTCGTATACAACTTAGCCGTATATAACTGGTTACGAGTGGGTGGTGTAAACTAACTTGAATTTGATAGTCTGTTACTTCCTTAATCTGTTCAGGTTTGAAATGGTATCAAGACAATTTACTATCTAACAGTGAAGTAATATTTAAGAGTTAAAGAACATTCCCGCTCTACAGTGCTGTCAGATTTCATCTTTATATGGATGTAAACCCAGAGCTGGAGATGCTGAAACAGCTGAAGCTATGTATGAAGATAAAATTTATGTACATAGATATAAAGAAGCAAATTTGACGGTGCATATGTTTAAAGTAAATTCTGATGAATTAGTTGGGCAGAATTTAGGAGAAGCCAATGGAGAAAACTATGTTATGATGTGGTCTCCTGTTATTTCAGAAATAATTCACATAGAGAAAGAAAACCTGCCTCTGCTTAGAGAATTTAGTAGAGATATTGTCTAGTCTAACAGCAAGAGCTGATATTTTCTATTCTTTCTGTTGCTCTATTTCACAAAATTTCATGCAAGTCAATTAGTCTCCAAGGCTTTTCTTTTTAACCAAGCAGTAAGTTGACTTTTTTTCCCCTGCCACAGTGGCATCTAAGTTGTCATGACAAGAATAAGTCAGTGTGTCATCGTGAATGCTCTTGTATTCCTAACGAAGTTTATATTGCAAGCCAAGGATTTTGTACAATCTTTCAGGTCGTTTTTATAATAGAGTGGAGTGGTCAAATTCTTATGATGATGTTCTGGACTGGTCCTGTTCTAGTGACGTGTAAGTGATTTTTGCAATGTTTGCGGCTGACTTGCACATTTTCCCTGAATAGCTGTATTAAAAACCTCCAATGGCATACTTAAGTCAACTTTGATTGTTGTGTCTTAATCTTAGAAACATGGATAGTAAACATATTATGCCAGGGCTTCAGTCAGCATTTTGTAGATTAAATAAAAGCTTAACTATAGTAACTTTCTGGGTGGGATTCGTACTGATGCAAAAAACCTCCTGCACTTTTCGTAATACTGACTTCCAGGAAGTACCATTATTGGTGACAGGACACGTGCCCTTCCATTAAACTACATTTTAACATGCAGTTATGTCCTCTGTTGTCAAAGGGTATCTCAGTTCTCTCAAATTTAACCACGTTAGCCAGATAACCTCAGAGGAAGTTCTTGTACTTGGGAATGCTGATAACTTATTTTTGCAACAATCAAAGACTGAACATTAGAAGAAGAAAATCTGTACCATCCTACCTGGCTGGTTTAGTG